TGTGTAAATATTTTACCTCTTTCCTCAAAAGCACACATACATAAAAACATATAAGCTTAAATGTATATATAAATATAAAAAAGAACATTTTGCTAGCACGGCATTGGGCAAATGCAAATAGGAAAATTAAGATGTGACTATATATATTTTTTGAATTCTTTCGAACGCTACTTAATTCGATATATGCAGCATATGCTCTATTTATGTCATTTTTTTAAAATGTAAAAAAAAAAAAAAATAATGCTCGTGTTTTTTTTTTTTTTTTTTTTTTTTTTTTTTTTTTTTTTGCTTTTTTCGTCGAGTTTTCCATTTTTTTTTTCGTGCTTTCCCATTCATTCATTTAGCTTTTTTTTTTTTTTTTTTTTTTTTATCTTTAACCCTCTGGAAGTTTCATAATTAAAGAAGGCTTTTTTCCTGCATGATGCCATCATTGCATACAATTCTCACAACTTTAGAGGAGAAAAAGCGTGTACTTGTTCATTATTCATTTTAATAACTTTCATACATATTTACTTACATATGTACGTATGCATATATGCACATACAGATACACACATACAAATACGCACTTATATCCTAACCGATTTTGCAACATATACACCCCCACATATGTAATATATGCCCAATCCATAGTGAATAATTCGTATAACATATAGCATAATACTTCACAATTTGTCAAATCGTCATTCTCAATTAAATGAAGATCATAAGAGTCTTTGTTTTCTTCACCTTTTTTTTTTTTTTTTTTTGCGTGAAAGATTTTAATTTCCAACTTCTTGTCACATCCGTCCAAGGGAAGTGCATTATAAAGCCCGTGTAACACATTCTGGTAGAAAACGGGAAGAAGATTTTTCATGTATCTGTGGAAGAAGAAGGCAGAGACAAGCTTACGACGTGGGGAAAAATAAAAGACAAAAAGACAACTAAACAAAGAAATAAACACACAAGTAGCCCACCAAATGATCTACCAGTTGACCAAAGAAACAAAGAAGCAAGACATAATAACGTAACGCAAAGAAGAGGACGAAGGAAGGAATTATCAAAAGAATCAAACGTAAACAAGTGTGATAAATGTGACAACGATTAGATCATGAAGAAAGACCCATGAGAGGGAAAGATTTATTTAAAGAAAAAAAAAAAAAAAAAATATTTTTTTTTTTTTTTAAATTTCGCTTATCCCATAATAGTGTACGAGAGGAGAATAGTTAAACAAATGCATAGATACTTATCTGGGTATATAAATTAATTACATTGTCACGTGTACCTCTAAATATATCTAAATAAGGAGGTACATAAGAACTTCCTTCATTTATACACTGTAACAACTACTGGTTAATGATACATAAAGCGTGTATAGACAAATAAATAGTGAGAAAGCAAAAAAAAAAGAAAAAAAAAAAAAAAAAATGTACGAAACGAAAAAAGGAGATGATATAATAATAAACGATGTAACAGAAAAAGTAGTAGATTTTAGTAAATTGGATGAATCAACAGAAAGAACTCAAATATACCATGATGACTTATGTGACAACGATATAAAAATATGTTTACCATCAAGAATAGGATTTCTTCCAGCCATTAAATCAATGACTGATGGTATAAAATGGGGATGGGGATTTACAAATACTCCAAAAGAATCATCTAGATATTATATAAACGAAATATTATGTGGATGTATATTATGTTTAACAATGTTACCTGAGATGATATCCTTTTCTATGATTGCTAACATTCCACCATATATTGGATTACAGGGTGCTTCTTTTCTTTGCTTAATAACGTCTATTTTTGGAGGATCTCCCGCAGTGATTCATGGCGTGACGGGGGCGTTTGCTTCTGTGTGTTCAAAATATTTAGTTGAAAATAATAATGTTGATCTTTTACCAGAAGGCATAGAACGTCTCTATGTTTGTATACTGATATGTTCAGTTATGTTATTTTTCTTCTCTCTGTTCCATATGTCGGCTTTAATTCAGCTAATTCCCACCCCTGTGTTTATTGGATATTGTAATGGATTATCTATTATATTTTTAAGGGCTCAGCTACATACGCTAAAAAATCCATACACACATGAGTATATTAAGGGCTACTACTTGCTTTTTTTTGTCATTATATGTACCCTGGTTGTCCTCATAGTGGAACTCTGGAAGAAAATCCCCAAGGTACGAAGAACGAGGTTACAGCGCCTGCTTAACATGCTTGTTTTTGACGTCTTAATATATATATATATATGTGCATATATATGTGTACCTGCTTAACGTTTTTTCTGCTGAAACAAGAGGTGCACCAAATCATGGGAGCACTGCTTACAGGCTTATTTTACATGTCACCAAGAGGTTACGGTGTTCAGTAGTGATGTATATGCTATATGCTACCTATCTTTTTGTTTGTTTGTTTGTTTTTCATTTTCCATTTCTCTCCCTTTTTTGCCAACTCGCTATCCCTTAAATTTACCTCTCATATGGACGCATACCCTGCACCCCCTTTTACCACTCACAGATAGGCCAGAAGATCCCGTCAACCCTAATAGCTATAACTGTTACTGTATTTGTTGAATTTGTTATACTTCGAAAGTTCCTTCACAACAATTTCGATTCGTTCAAAGATGTAAAATCATATACAGTGGGGGATATGTTTTCCTTTACGTCAGACAAAGCCAAGCCAACGTTTTTATTTACAAATAAAGAATTAAATTTTTCCAAAGTGGAATTTAATATAGAACTTCTAAAACAAATAGTAAATATGTTTGTAGTGTTACTTCTTGAAGTTTTGATGGTCAGTGAAGTGATAAAAGATATGGGAGGTGTAGAATGTGATACGAATGAGACTATATTTTCTCTTTTTATTGGAAACCTTTTAGCTACCTTAGGAAGTGCTGTTGGGGGTAGTAGTTTGTTAGGATTATCAGTACTGAATTATAGAAATGGTGCAAGAGGAAAAGAGAGTGGTGTCGTTGCATCTGTCTTGATATATGGCATATTACTCTTTGGATATTCTTTGTTGAACTACATTCCCCTGTCGTTTTTATGTGGAATCATGGTTACTGTTTTTATTCATTGCTTCAAATGGTTTTCTATTCCCATAGTCTTCTTCACTTTCTGTCCTGGATACATAAGAAACTGTCATCCCTGTATGAGCAGGAAGATATCAAGATGGGACGCCTTCATCATTGTCCTCGTCACTGTCTTATGTGTAATGGAAAAAGAGAGAGGAAAAAAAAAAAAAATAATAAATAACAAATTGAATGACAAAATAAATAGCAAAATAAATAAAATTAATAGCAAAAATAAATAACTAAATGAATGACAAAATAAATAACAAAATAAATGCACCAATGTAAAGGCGTTTTATGTATATGCACACACAATACACGCTGTACAAACTGCGCACACTGCATATACAAGCCTGTGTGCACGCATGCAAATTCTGTCAAAAACGAATGGGACTAGGGTATACCCTTTTGATTCTTCCCCTCGTGTGTTATGACTGTTCTTATGAACTATTCTCATTTCTGCATTTTTATGATTTCCAAATTACAACTCCCTCTATTTTTCCCCACCTTTCTGACAGGTTTTCGTCAGCGTCCCAACCGGTGTTTTTGCAGGGATAATTTTATCCGCATTGGTTTATGTATGGCAAAGTAAATCCACATTCAAGTTTGAAATATTTTATGATAAGGACACAGACACCAAGGTAAGGAATGAGGATGATACATTCAGATCATAATTCCCAGGCACGCAATTATGTACACGCGTTATATATGTACATATATAGAAAGAGAGAAGGGATAGCGCGAATGTAAAAAAGGAATACATACCTGAAGGCGCAGCTAAACGGGATATATACATGTATATATACATGTATATATATGTATATATATGTATATATATGTATATTTATACGTGTGCTTACACTAATGTATATTGTCACCTATAACCCATTTTTGCAGTATTACGAAATTGAGGGACACTTGTTTTATGCGTCGAAGAAGATGTTTACGAGATTGTTCAGCTATGATAAGGACAGTTCAACTGTTAATATTGTCCTTAAGGGGAAAAGTACCCTATTTGATTATACGGCCATTGAGGCCCTTACCTCAGTTAAGCAACAGTACAACCTGAACAATCGAAATGTAACAATTCATGGGCTAAGCCATGAGTGCATTAAAAAAATTGCAAAAATGAATCATTTGTGTAAACAAATTGATGTAGATTTAGTAAAAGTGGAAGCTCCAGTTGTTCCTTTGCTATATAAGCCATTACGGACTATTATGAAGGTACATATTTATGACATTTATTATGAATGTATAAAATATCTCATCATTTTTGTCTACCTATATAATATGTAACAGTGTTATCATTATGCAACAATACAAAATCAGATTTATACATTGTGATGACATTTTCATATATATTCTATTCCATCATATTACTCCTCTTGCTCATTTCCTTTTTTTTTTCTCAGACGCAAAAAACCATAAGGAGAAGAATGTCTTTTAAGAAGAAGAAAAAGAAAAAAGAATCACACAGCAGCGAATCACATGATGAAGTGGAACCATAAGATAGAATGTTATCAATCTACTGAATATATAGTTAACATGTGTTTAAAAATATGTATACCTTTTTTTTTTTTTTTTTTTTTTATATGCATCAATTTTTTCAAAGTTATTTTCTGTTTTTCTAAATTTTGGTCCAATTCGGCCAAGTTTTATTATACACTTTTTACCTATAAGCACTAATTTTTTTTTTTTTTTTTTAATTTATTTATTTTATGTTTTTGTTGTATATGTACAAAAAAAACATGCACACCGCATATTGGGACATATTCATTTATTCATAATTCAGAAAAAAGCACATCGTCAAACATGTAAATGTATAAATGTGTACATATATATGTATCTGTGTGTCCCCCCGCTCGATCTTTTTTTTTTTTTTTTTTTTTTTTTACCCCACTTTTTGGCCCATATTTTTTTAAACCCTTCATAATTTGTTACCTGTTTTCGTCCCTATTCTTACGCGAACCACAAGAATTATTTATCTTCTACACGAAACACATGTTTCCTCCATATGACATATATTCAGTATGTATGGCTTCTTACGCTTTTAAATGCTTTTTTTATGTACTCAAACTTTTCATCATAATTTCTATTAAAAAGAAAGAAATTGTGAATAAAGAAGAAATCGTTATGCATATGTATACGTAATGATGAATTTATGTGCATGTGCTTTCGCTTGTAAATTCTTCTTCATATATTTTTTTATTTATTTAACTATAGAGTTATTAAATTTTCAATAAACTCGTTAATTTTTCAACAAACTCGTTAATTTTTCAACAAACTCGTTAATTTTTCAACAAACTCGTTAATTTTTCAACAAACTCGTTAATTTTTCAATAAATTTTTTTACTGTTTTGTTGTAATAAAAGCTACCTTAGTTTTTTCCATTCATATTCGTATAGCATAATCGGGTTCCTATGAAAAATGAGGGGTGGGGAAATGTGAGAAATAAAATCTTGATTTCTATAAAATCCAAGTAAACACACATGGATTTCTTATATATACATGCCAAAGTGCTATCTCACCATCCTAAAAACTTCAAATGTCGAAGTTTGTAGTTTAAATAATGCCGATGGAACTTGTTCTGACTATCCTTCACATTTTTGTTCATGTTTCTGTTATGCACTAATTCGACGTAAGTGTTTCTGAAATCCGGAAGGTAAGAAATCGGGTATATGTGGATTTGCTTATTCTCTACTTTGTACCTGTTCAGGGGGACAGAAGAGATTACATCAGTATGCATCAGTAGACATAAATATATTAGGTATGTTCATGCTGACACAGAAACACGTACATACATAAGCATGTACAAGCACAAATACATATACACACAAACACACACACCTCAAAATGTGAGTGTCGGTTATTGTTACCCATTTTCCTTTATGAAAAATATGACCTGTTTACTAAATATAGTTTCTCGTGAGTCTTTGCCTATGAACAAATTGAGATGCATTATTGTCTTATTTGTGTTTATCCAACACTGATAAGTATTCTTTACATCAAGTTGGGTTTGTATACTTCCTTTTTTAAAATATTTCATTTTCATCCCAACTATCCCTCGATATTTTGCTCTCTCCCTCTTTTTACCCCCTTTTTTTTTTTTTTTTTTTTTTTTACCTTCTATTTTTAGCTGTTTGACAAAATCAAAAAATTGAGCATTTGGGTTGTAAAAATTATTGTATAGAAAATTATCTGATCTAATAAGAAGATCGAGAAACTTTAGTCTATACAAACTGACTGATGGCATTAGTGTAATGGAAGTAGAATCATTTAACTTATTTTCTTTCGCGTTAAAATACAACTGATGGATGCTATTTATATTGTCATTACAAATGGCAATATTAGAACTGTTTTTACTCATTTGTAAATCCATATCGATGTTCGTGTCGAGTATGACATTATTGTTATATTGGTATTTTTTATATGTGGGATATTCTTCCTCCTTATTTACACATATCAGTTCTAATTTTAATAAATTGATTAATTGATTTATATTTTTGTAATTATAATAATTACATAAAAATATATTATATATAACTTTAATTAATATGTGAATATCTTTTTTTTCCCCTTTGTTATAATTGTCTCGTAATATTTCTAACAATATATGAATATCCGTAATTTCACAATTAAGGCGAGAACAAGATTTTATAATTGTCACTAAATATTTTGATATGTCCTTTGTTTTCCCTTCATTGCTCCTTTTAACAATTTCGTTTATAGATCTTGAAAAAAATTTTTGATTAATCCATTTTTTATTTTTAAATGATGATACTAATTTAACACTTTCGACTAGTTGTTCAAGTGTGTAGAATTCTATTTCATTGTTTAATTCGGAGTAAATATAATTATATATAATTTTATCGTAATCTATATTTAGGTAATACAGGTATTTAATTACTAGTAATAAAGAATTACTTGTGTCGTTTTGTCCTATTTTTCCATCAATGGATTTACTTAAATTTTTGTTTTTCCCTTCCTTTTTTTCATTTTCGTTAAGTAGTAGTACATAGGATAGTATTACATTTTTCAAGAGTTCCTTCTCAATCAGGACTCTTTTTGACAATAAAATGGTGTATGCAAATATAATTTTAAAATCATCTTTTTTTAAACTTTTTAAAATTTTTTCACTAAACAAGGTGTAAACGCATTCTTTAATTTCTTTCTTGTAATTTTTGTATGAAGATATGCAAATCTCCTTTTCTTTTTTGTATTTGTTAATGCATTGAATCATGTTACTAGACAATCTTTCAAATTTTTTTAGTTCGTGGTTTAAGCTCCCGAATGCACATTTGGTTTTATTCAGTATAGTACTTTTTCTCTGGCATCCACCCAGTTTGTTTTTATTCGCAAGAATGATCTTCAGCATTATTTATTTATTTTTTTATTTTTAAATACCACCTTTGTGCATTTCATAGCTGAAGTCTTGTCTTAAGATTAAGACACAAACACATGCTAAAGTTTCTCAGCTTATGTGTGTAAACAGATCTAATTAAGCAAACCCGTCTTATCACAGCTATGATAGATGGTGTGGTTGTAATGGTACAAATCCCCATTTCTACACAACATTCTCCTCGCCTTCCTTGATCCTAAATGCATAGGTATTAGTAAAAAAGGACGAATTGTAAAATCACTAAATTTTATCTTATTCAAAAAGGAGGAAATTCCTGCTGATCATTTAGTGATAAATTACAGAATCTGGTTTGTTGTCATATATTCACTGAGTCCGTTCGTATCATGCACTTTTAAAAATATATCAGAAATTGCCCATCGGAAAAGTAAATGTTTTTATGTAAATATAAATGTATATACGGAGAGAAGAGGAGAAAAAAAAAAAAAAAAAAAAAAAAGGAATTAAACACACCTTTAATAAAAGCGCTTTAGTTTTTCTACAAGTCGTTTTTTTCAGTTCAGCAAATAAAAAAAAAAAAAAAAAAAAAAAAAAAAAAAAAAAAAAAAAAAAAAAAAAAAAAAAAAAAAAAGAAATAAAAACCCCTTTAAAAAAACGCTTTAGTTTTTTTAAAAATCGTTTTTTTCAGTTCAGAAAAAAAAAAAAAAAAAAAAAAAAAAAAAAAAAAAAAAAGATGCGTGAAGTAAAATGAGTTGAAGACCCATAAGAAAAGGGCTTGTGGAAGGATAAAATGACAAAATATGGAAATATGCACATATACATATATATATACAATAATGCACACAAATCTATGTACATTTGACCGGTCATGTGGGTCAAACTGCGCGCTCCCTAGCTGTTATACCGTGAAGGGAGTAGAAAATTCTGATAAACATGTGCAACAGAAAAAAGGACCATTTTTTATGCATCGATAAATTAAGCTACAAGATCATAGGTCTCCTAATCTCGCACCCAAAGAGGTTCCCAAGTTATAGTTTTTTTTAAAATCCCTAAAATGGGCTACATTTATGTATATACATGCACACATATTTATACACACGGGATAAAAACTCTTTTGCAACATTTTTAAACATTAGAAGTGTAAAATAAAAAAAAAAAATGAATAGAAAGGAATTAAGGTCAAACAAAAAGGGAGTGACGCATGCAAAAAAAAAAAAAAAAAAAAAAATGTTTGAGGTTTTCCTTACAACAAATATAACACTTGGAAATGTTAAAAGCAAAGTGTGAAAGTACGCGATGAGGCGCTTAAAGGGGGTGTAAGAAGGATTGGAAAACGCAAGCCATATTGTACATATAGTAAAAGCACTGTGATGTTAATAGTAGTGGTATTCGGTATGGTTACATGTATACTACTTCTATTGAGGCACAAATAAAAGGATATTAATTTAGGAAATCCAGACTCACACAGGGAGAATCCAACGTGGGAGAAAAGTAAATAATGTATATATGATACAGGGAAGAAGCATAATTTTTTGACCCATCAGTGCATAATACCATATGTGTGAAAAAAAAAAAAAAAAAAAATTACCCTTATGTGTATGCATGTGCATATATGCGTACGTGTTCGAACATGCATATTTCGAGGTCTTTCTTTTGGTATTACCCAACAAACTTCTAGAAATCACTCCTACAACCGGAATATGAACAAAAAAAAAAAAAAAAAAAATTGGTTGAACAAAATTTAGACCATATTTTTCAAAACATTAATCTTCTTGTAATGGTCAATAGATAGGAAATCGGGTAAAGACATAAGATAATACTCCCCATCCACTTGAAAGTAAACATTACATTCTTGCTCTTTAAAGAATATTTTCCAAGGGCCAACTCCCTGATGCACTCTATAAGCTCTACCCCTAAGAGTAAATTCTAACCCTAAGTCAACACCTGATTTATAAATGACAAATTCTAGTATACCATCTCCTACTTCTTGTTGTGATTTTTTTAAATCTTTATAAGCTTTTTTTTGATCCGAAGGTAAATCCTTTGGAAGTTTTAAACCAAGTTTATGCGTGTAATTCCATATGTCATTACCAGATGAGTAGGATGGTATGTTAACACATATAATACTCATTGCTTTTTTTAATAAGGGGTATGGAGGAGAATTATTATCATTATGATTTGTTGTAAATATTACATTATCAAAATTTTGACCTGTTACCATTTTGTCTATAATGAAATTGACAGGATTATTCTTTTTAAAAATAATTTTTTTAAATCCTTCAACAAGATAAATAAGCTTGTTAACAAAAGCACTTTTTTGTCTGTGTCTTTCAAAACCTCTACCTATTCTGGATTCAATACCAATACTGAAATAATTGCTCATACACAATTTTAACGTTTTAATATTTTTATTATTCTCTGTGAGAGTTTCTTTTTTTTTAGTTTTAGAACTAATTTTATTAAAATATCCATTATCCTTTAATACTACATTAATATTCCAATAATCATGCTTCTCAATTTTGGACCGAAACGTTTGATCTACTATTTTTTTTAAAATATTAAATAAAAAGGTATAATTAAAAAGTCCGTCCATTTTCTTCCATCCAAAAGCTTTTGCAAAATCATTACCTGTGCCAAATGGAATAACTCCAACAGCAAATTTATCATCATTGATGTTATAATATTCAGCTTCTTGTAAAAACCAATTTAAAGTCCCATCTCCTCCTGCTACTAATACACAAGCAGTTATATTTTCATCATCCCAAGCTGTAACTGTTTTATTAACATCTCCTAATGTCTTTTCGTTTCCTTCTCTTATGTATCTTGTGTTATCATCTGTATTGTTTTTTTCTCCATTCTCTGTTCTGCTTTTTTGTTCATTTGCTTTGTTCACATTTGTGCTATTCTTAGAATTGAAATTCTTTGTAGCTTTAGAATTTTCTTCCTCCAATTTAATATTTTGAGATTCCACACTTTTTCCCTCTACTGACGAGTTATTATTACTACTAAATAATTTTGAACTGGATGCCAAAGTCTGACTATTTTTGTCAACCTCTCTTGGGTTATTGATTACGGAACTTAGGTGAAGGAACCCAGGCTTTTTCCCAGTCTCACCCTCTAAAATGTTGTAAATATGAAGGTGGCATTTATAGGGCTTGTGGAAAGATATTTCGTTAGCTCCGAACTGGGATCAAAAATAGGCAAGAGAAAGGACACAGGGTAAAGGGGGTGCATGTGTGTGTTTGTGTGTATGTGCATGTTCATGTGTGTGTTTATGTATGTATGCGTGAGAAGGGGAGGTTTAGGAATTCATGTATTGATGTATACAAGCCTGTGCATACTTCTCTATGCACATGTAGGAGGACGCTCATGTGTTTCTTTTATGCAGTTCTTACATCGGTAAATACAGAAGCTCTATTACCCCCAGCAGTTGGGTTCACAAAGAGGAAAATATACTTCATGTTTCAGTTGCTTCAGCATTACCTAATAAACCTTAGAAATATACAAATGTGTTTATATGTAGTAAATTTATTTTTATTTATTTTATTATATTTTCGGACCAGTTATATTTAATCGAGGAGGATTCACTTAAAATAAAGAAAGGAGAAAAAAAAAAAAAAGAAGCGGCGATTCATGTTTTCGATATCGATTTTGTCATTAATGTCTCTTTCGATATAACTTTCTATCACACTTTCAACCACGCTCTAACTATTGTTATCCTTATTGTTATAGTTTTTTACTTACGCATATTTATAGGTGTCACCTTAGGGGCATGTTGAATCAACTTTAGGAAAAAAGAAAAACTTAAATAAGCTTCAAATATTGACAGTAAAGATGCGGATTTGTTTAATTGCGAAAAGTTGAAACATTTTAAAAAAAAAAAAAAATAATAATAATAATAATAATAAAGACCATAGGAACGTAGGAACAATTTTGTTATTAAATTCTACCCACAAAAATATAAAAAAACAAAAGGTTCCTAGAGGTTAAAAAAAAAAAAACAAAAAACAAATGCGACACATTGTACAACGTAAACGTATTCGAATATGTTTGTTCATGTGTGTATTCACATCTTGATGCATATATTGACGTACATATATACACACTCACAAACCAATGCATACACACATACATAAATACATGTATATATACCAATTCGCGCACATGTGTTTACACAAACAGGTACATTTACCTATTTGTTCAGGTATATATGTACATTAGCATGTATAATTAAATACACACATATAAAGTCATATGCACATTTTTGGTATTCGTATACTCAATTTTCTGAAGATATGCGTTAATTTACAAAATAGGGGGAAAAAAAAATATACAAATAAAACACAAAAGCAAAATACGAAAATAAAATGCGAAAATAAAACATACAAATAAAACGCACAAATAAAATACACAAATAAAACGCACAAATAAAATACACAAATAAAACGCACAAATAAAATACACAAATAAAACGCACAAATAAAATACACAAATAAAACGCACAAATAAAATACACAAATAAAACGCACAAATAAAATACACAAATAAAATATGCAAGTAAAATATGCAAATAAAATGAACGAACAAAATAAACAAATCAAACAAAGAAACCATATGAACAATTCAAATAAACAAACCAAATAAACAAAAATTATTGGAAAATATCTTTTATTTCCTGTTTTATGCACAAAAAGAAAAAAAAAAAAAATTACATGTTCGCAAATTACACTAAAGGAAAAAAAATAACGTCTGCATTTTTTTTTCTTTTCCATCTTGCACATGGGATATATGATAATCCATAATTTTAGAAAAAACATAAAATATAACATCAAAACAAAGAGAGTAAATGAAACCAAAACAAAGAGAAAAAAATGAAATAAGAACAAAGAGAAAAAAATAAAATCAAAACAAAGAGAAAAAAATGAAACCAAAACAAAGAGAAAAAAATGAAACCAAAACAAAGAGAAAAAAATGAAACCAAAACGAAGAGAAAAAAATGAAACCAAAAGAAGGCAAAAAAATGAAACAAAAATATGTATCTTATTACTTTGAAATAAAGGAAAAAAACATTTACGATAGAAAGAAAAGGCAAAAAACTTTGTATAAGGAGCGGTTACTAAACCGTTTTGTCACACGGATCGATTACATATAGGGATCCCCAATATTTTTAGGATCACCAAATCACGCAAAATAAAGAAAGGCAATTAAGATAATAATGTGAAGGCACTTAGAAATGTATAAATTGTTATGAAAGAATTAAATTTAATCGTTGCAGTGTATTCACATGTTTACTTTTTTCTCAATTTGTCCACCCCTCTCATCCCCATTTTTCGTCATCCTTTTGTGAATTCAAATTCCCTACCCATTAGTGATATATCCCAGCGGGGGATGACTCAAACTTGGCTAAGTTATGCTTGTCTACAGAATTATAAAAAGAAGCTTCGCTACCCGAATCAAATATGGAATTAATCTTAGCTTTTTCAATATTGTTATATTCTTCATATATATCTGTACATCCATTTGCTACATCTAAAAATGTGTAATTTGTTGGTTCTGTGTAAGCCCTCTTCATGTAATTTTTCATTTCAGTATACCCACTATACATATCATTGTAATAAATAAAAAATAAGGATATTGATAAGAAAAAGATAAATATAAATAAAAATAAAAATACGACTACATCGCAGAAAAACCAGAGAATACATGGAAATATGGACATCACAATTGCAGATATTATTAGACTCATGCTTAGTTTCCACAAGGAATTCTGCAAAAATTTAAGTGAAATTTTACTATTTGTATAAAATAAGTTAAATTTTTATGTGTGTGTGATGTACTGACATGTTCTTCAATGTTTTTCTTTCCTTTGCGTGTAAAAATGTACGTATATGTTCAGGTAGATACGTTTTCCTGTACAAAATGATGAATATACATGAATATTACCATTGAACCATGTAGGAATAGAGAAAATATCTGAAAGGACACTAAAACATAGGTAATCATCCGAATTAGCCACAACGACTTTATATTCCCATAATTTTTATGAATAAAATCCTTAGTCTGGTTTATCATTATTTTGTTATCCTCAGATAACAATGCCACTTTCTGATTCATAATGTCAACTCCTTCTATTTCGAATATGGTATTCAGCAAGCGTGATCGTTGGACTCCAATGACTGTAGCATGCGTAGACGCGCTTCCATAAAATGATACGCGTACGTCCCCTACCTGTAAAAAGGTGCAAAAATTTATGTATGTATGTATGCATGTATGTATGTACGTATGTATATATGTGCATACATAATTGTGTGTAAGAAAATTTGGGGCGTAGATATGATGCCCTTTTATATGTTTTTCACATGGGAGAAAACTGCCCTTAAGGAGTTAATTTTAACTGAAATGCTACTCCTTATTTTGCTATGTCTCTATGGTTCAATTTTTTCGATTTATTCTTTTTAATATTTTTTTCTACAAATTTATTATTCGTTCCCGTAGGACATTCTCCCTAGAGCTTTTTTCGATTTCTATACATCATTTTGTTTTTATTTTCTACACGTAAAGCATTCATTTTTTTGTTAAAAATGTGTATCACAAAAACAATGCAAAGGAATTATACTTGAGGATTTAGCGGGTCTCCTGTATACAAATAATTATCATAAACATTAGTATTCATATGATCAAGGGTAAAAGGAGGTTTTATTTCAGACTCAGTAAACCAGCCATCATCAATCAAATCTAATTTTTTTTTCTTCTGAAAATTTACAAGAGTATTCGTAGGAAGTCTATAATTTCCAGCCTTCACATAACTGGCATACTGCAACAAAAAAAAAAAAAAAAAAAAAAAGTGATAGCTATAAATGTAACATAACTTCAAAATCGATACATCTATAAAATATTCTTTATAGGAAGGATTATAACGTAAAATATCAGCACATTCTTAGGAATTCTATGAAAATGACACGCATGTACATATATATATAAGTGTATGTGTAAATAAGTACGTATCCTTACAAAGGCCTTATCAACCCTATTTTAACCAGATTACTGCTAAAGCAATTATTAACCTTTCTGCCTACATTCCCAACAGCCGGCATATACTCAGGATTTTTTTTACTTTTATAGAAAAAGAAAAAATTGTAAGGAGTTCTAACTACATGATCCTCAAATTTCCCTCTTGTAAATAAATCAAAATGCCCATACTCTCTTACCCATTGATACATTTCTACTTTTATTTCAAAAAACACGCCTCTAAATGAGTAGATATTACTACTGAATTCCGGTGGTGCATAAAACATTTCCTGATCCTGTAAGGGACAATTCTGTTACGCAAATCAAGTTAATGTAAAAAAAAATATACATTTCGTAAAAATTTGATTTATACATAATTTTGATAGTATAAATTTGAATCCGTTCACATGCAAATAATTTTTTCTTTTTTTTTTTTTCTTACTATATGTATGATTTTTCCATTGTTTTCCTCTAAAGGGATGCATGAAACCTAGCATAGAAAAGATATTTTAATTTAAAACAAAATTTAATGCAGCATTTTTAATCTTTTTCAAGTTCTAAATATAATATGTATGCTTTTTTTTTTTTCCTTACTGGTATGGCGTTTTTTATTATAGGTCTTAATTCTTTAGAGTATGTAACATATTTATATTCATTGACTATAGTAAATATTAAGAGTAATAAGGTAAGTGCCGTTGCAGATATAGATAAAATCTTTTTAGGAAAACAATATTCTTCATTGATGATCATTTTTTTTTTTTTTTTATTCTATTTTTTTGAATGATTTTAAAAAATGAAACAATTGATAAAACTTGTTAACTATGAAACTTATTTTTGTTTTTAGACAATCATTTGATTACATAAGCATGGGAACAAATTTCTTCAGAATAAGACAAAATTAAGGTAAATGAAATTTTAATGAGCAAAAGTTTGAGAATAGACAATAAAAATTTCAAAAGAAATATTTAAGGCAACACTTTTTATTAAGTAAAAAGAGGAAAAATAAACCTCTTTGCTTCTTTAACTATACAAAATAAAATTACTTAACGAAAAAAAAAAAAAAAAAAAAAGTCCCCATTGTTATACGCGAAACGAATTGTAATTGTTTCTCCGCAGAAAATAAAAAAATATAAATCTCTGTAGCATTGGGGGAATGAAAAAGTGTGAAAACAGAAAAATGAAAAAATGCAAAAGTGTAAAAATATAAAACTGCATAACAAACACCAATTTAGCACAGTTACATTTGCATGTTGCAAGGTTTAAAAATAAAAGCTTGTATATTAAAGAAAAAAAAAAAAAAAAAAACAATAAAATTAAAAAAATCCTTACATACCTTTGTACCAACGTAAAATTGTTCTTTTGCTAATAATAAATATAAGTTTAATGAGATATAATTATTCTTATAAATTTTCCGCTTAATTTTCCAGTTCTACTTTAAAAAAGAAAATTAGTGTATATTCACACCTACTGATACTTAATTCAACCTTTAAAAATAATGTTTTTTTAGAAAGAAATACGAATAATTCTTTAAAAAAAAACTGGCACTTTTTTTACTTAACCTTATAACCCTTAATTATTTGCTTACAAATTTTTATAGAATTCTTACATCCCCCAAAGTGCTTTTTCAGTACCATAAGTGAGATGATATTTAATTTGGAGATTTTTTTTACCATTGTTTATATTTTTTCTACTTATCAATGAATTATAAAATTTTGTGTGCGGAATTTCTTTTTATAATTTCTTACACTATATATCACAGACAACATATCTACATGCATAACAATAAAGATATTTCATCAAAAGTGGAAACTATATAACGTTGTTGTAATTCCGCTAGCCTTTTTTTTTTTTTTTTTTTTAAACTTGTAAAAATGTTAATGTATGTACATAATTTTTTTTTCATTGTAAGGAAGCATATTTGATATGATTTTTACATGTGCATTTTTTTTTTTTTTTTTTTTTATTAATCTCTCTTTATGAGAAATGCTAATAATGTTTTTAAATATTCTTTATTTGTAAACAATGAAAAAAAAAAAAAGAGTTGTAAAATTTTAAAATTTTTGTGCTATTTATAGCTATTTAAAAAAAAAAAAAAAAAAAAAAAAAAAAAAAAAAAAAATATTCTTTTTTATTATTTTTATTATTTTTTTTTTTTTTTTTTTTTTTTTTTTTTTTTTTTTTTTTTTTTTTTTTTTTTTTTTTTTTTTTTTTTTTTTTTTTTTTTTTTTTTTTTTTTTTTTTTTTTTTTTTTTTTTTTTTTTTTTTTTTTTTTTTTTTTTTTAAAAAATAAAAAAAAAAAAAAAAATTTTAAAATTTTAAAATTTTTTTTTTTTTTTAAATATTTAAAAAAAAAAAAAAAAAAAAAAAAAAAAAAAAAAAAAGTAGCCCTACAATAATTCGATTACATGCTTATAAATATATATTGTATTTTTAATTATTGTTGTAAGAGTAAATATATGCAACTTAATTTTTGTCCTTTTATTCCATTTTTGTGCTTGTTCTGTTCTTAGCCTTTATTTCCCTGTGTGTTTTTTTGTTTTCGTTTTTTTTGTTTTATTTAAATGTGAAGTACATTCTTCTTATTTGCTAAGAGAATTATACACATACCATAAAAAAAAAAAAAAAATTAAAATTGTAAAATGTTCACGGGTGCTGATGACATTTAATGTTGGACAATGTCATTTGTATATTCAATTGTATTCCCTTATATCTGCATTTTCCCAGTCTTTCATAGATGCTATAGTTTTAAGACAAATATATAAATTATTTTATTTTAATTATTATTCTCCTTTTTTGTTACTCTCAATGTGTTTCTAAATTATGAGGGCGCAAAGTGAAACAATAAAACCGTCAACCCCTCTTAGAAGAATACCTAAAAATAGAGGAACCGTTGTGAGAAATGCTACTGAATTAAACCCATTGTCAGAGCAAGAATTAAAAAATGTTATTCATGTATACTCGGAAGCTAACAAAACATATTACCAGAATTGTGCAAAGAATGAAAGAAACCCCAAGAAAAAAAAAAAAAAAGCAACCCCCAAAAAAATTGAAAGTGAAGAATTTGATATGAATAGTCTTAACCCGTTAAAATATCGAAATGAAAAATACGAAGAAAATGGGACTCTTTTACATTTGCCAGGTACTAGCATTACTCCGAAATATATGAATCAGAACCCAAATGCTGATTATGGCGTCTCATCTCTGTCATATGGAACGCTTCATAAATCGAATCCACTATCATGGGGATGTGAATACAAGAAACATTATGAACTTCCAACTATTTGTTCAATTGTAAAATCAAAACACCCCATTTATTCCAAGCCTCAGAATGCGGAAATAGAACGAGAACACTCCAATATTTATCATAAAATGAAATCGAAGAAAAAGAATAATAATGTTTTTCGAACAAGTTCCAAAAATGACAATAAGTTAAAAGATAAAAGGGTACCTACTTTTGGTAATTACCAAGAAGATGAAATTACAAGCATTCAACATAGTAAACATATAACTAACGAACACAGATATGAGAACAATGACATCGTAGACACCACTATTAAAGATAGTAGCCATTCTGACAAATCTAAAGATATTTCAGACAATACCTTTAATTACGATGATTTTTACAATGATTCTGAGAATAGTAGTATAAATAATTCTAAATCAGAAGGTTTAAAAAATGTTCTACAAGAGGACAAACATAAGGCAAACCTTAATTCTAAAAGATATGGTAATAACATAGAGGAGAAAAAAAATTTATCTAATATTCATTGCAATAATGAAAATAAGAATCTAAATAAGGAATTAAAATTGGTAAATCCTAAAAGAGAAAATGATATTGTAAATATGCAAGACAATAATTCCCTAGATATAATTTTATCAAACGTAACCTTGATGGAGTTAAAGAATTCAGACACAGAATCAGAATGCTTGTACAGCTCGAGTGTGTATTTTAATGGAGATACTTCTGATTGTATGAATAACTCACAGATTTGTGGAAAAAATGAAGAAAAACATGTCAAGTCAGATTGTAATAATTCTCACGACTATTCAACACCACAAATGGCATTGGTGCAAGATAGTCGCAACAAGGGTATGAAAAAACAAAAAAACAGACTACCGACTAATAAAACTACGAAAGCGTATAAATCATTTGGTAAACAAACTATAGTTAAGGGATCACTGGAAAATAAAGAAAGCTATTATGATTCTTTTGGAAAGGTCTCAGACAAAAATACAAAAGGGCGTAAGGTGTTAATTAAATGTAGAATGCAGCCCATCGAAGAACACAATCCGATGTATTATGCATATGAAATAAATACAAATAAGAATAACAAAAAATCGAAGCAAAAAAGACAATTTAAAAAAAAAAATTCATTAAAATGTGATCAGGATTATGAGCAAAATTTACTAAATGAAAATTCTTTTAATAAGAGTAAAAAAAAAGGTCATACAAAAGGATTAAGATATGATAAAATTTCTAAAAAGAATAACTTGGAAAGCAATAGTATAAAGAATAATAAATCCCTCAACATGCGCACAATTAATACATTAGGATCTCAGAATGGTACATTTATAGGCAATAACAACTTTGTTGTACCTGAATCAAATAATCAACAATCTTCGAAAATAGAACAAGTCAATTTCCACAATATGAAAAACATACCTAATGAACAATCTTATGCAAAAAATGAAATTATCGATATTATGAACCAAAACACACCCAAAGGAGGATGGAAAATAAATCTCGGAAAGGAAGCATACACAGATGGGATTCCCAGTTATGCATATGCAGTACATGCAGACGCAATACCAAGGGTGTTACCCGTTACATATAGCATGTATGAGAACGTACCATATAGAGATATGAAAAACCAAGCTCCAAATGTTTTATCTGAAGTTCTACCTGACTTAGCTGTTGTTAATTTGTGCAAACCTGAGTGTAATACAAAGAGGTACCATTCAACATCTGTTTTACCAAAAATTCAACCACATTTAGCACAAGACAGTAACACCTCATCAATGCAGAATCACATCGATCGCGCGCAAACTCAAATGTTTCACGTACCTATCAATATGTCTCAAGGGAAAATGCAAACACAGGTATCGACAGTTCAGAGGAAAATGCCTAATATGAAGATGCAAGTGTCTAACACGCAGATGCAAATACCTAACACGCAGATGCAAATACCTAACACGCAGATGCAAATACCTAACACGCAGATGCAAATACCTAACACGCAGATGCAAATACCTAACACGCAGATGCAAATACCTAACACACAGATGCAAGTACCTAATACGCAGATGCAAGTGCCAATTACGCCAATGCAAATTCCTATTACACCAATACAATGGCCCATTACGCAAATGCAAATGCCCATTGCTCCAATTCAAATGCCCATTACTCCAATGCAAATGTCGATTGCACACATAGGTGCACCCTACGGGAAAGCTGGATTTACACTAAAACAAGATTCACTTCCCCAGACATATATGCCACATGGCCTTGAACAAAACCATATAGTACAAAAACTACAAGCACCCGTTATGGAAAATCCAACTGTTCTTGAGCAAATACAACCAACGAATACTGTTTCAAATAGAGAACTTAGAATTGATGACAAAGATTGTAACCTTGTGGAATTATCAAATCAGTTAGTACAATTTAAGGGTCATAATAATGTAGAATACAATAACGATGCTGCTTTTTCTAGATCTATTGATCATAATTATAACACGTCTTATAATATAACAGAATGTAATTCAGGTGACTTAAACAAGAAAGAATATGTAGAAAATATTTTTACAAATCCCTTAATTAAGGGTGGTGTAAATATAGGTGGTATGTATGCGAATAATATAAATCCGAACAAATGTATAGATCAATATAAGTCTGTAGACGATAAGGTAATATTTTCAAAAATGGAAAATGCAGTTCCGTCTTGGGTTAAAACGTACACAGATATGCAAACTCCAGTGATAAAAAGTGAAGCATCAAATGTCAGTTGTCTAAATATAAATACAAATACGAAAGATGATAATGCAAATAGTAACGTAAATAGTTCTATGAAAAATTTCAGTTGTCTTTCTAATGTGGAATCATGTAACAATAATGTGTACCACCAAATTAATAATCCTCAACTTGTGGGAAATACAAAAAGAATAAACCCTATAGATATATCCAACTTAATTAAAACGTCAAACGAGAACTTAATAAATTTACAAAACAAACAGTTGTTAGACATTTTACATGAAAAAGGGAAATGTAAACCAAGTATATCTATCAATAATATAGATAATAACCATCCATTATATGATGAGTTAAATATTCATACTCAAAATAATGTAAGTGAACAAAAATGTCAAAATTTTATAGATAATACAATCAAATACTTTTCATGTGCATACCCAACAGATGTTTCGAAAAAATGGGTAGGTGAGACAGAAAGTATAATTTTTTCTACGACACCTGAAGAAATAATTAATAAAAATCAACTGATACAGAATAATTCACAACTAACAAGCCATTTAAACTAATTGATCCCTCCCCCACGGAAAAACAATATATTCAAAATAATCCGGGGGAGGGGAAAGAAAGAGAATTAGATAGTATGAAATCGAAAGATGGTTTACTCTTTGGACAAGTAAAAACATATTCAGATAAATCCAATAATCTGAGTTTATTTATTTGTAATAGCATGAATGAACCTTCAAAGGTAAGCTTGACTAAGGAAATTTCAAATCAGCATTTTTGCATAAGTGAACAAAAGAAAACACTTGACAATATTGACAACGCGAATGAAAAAGGGAGTTGTAAAATATTCGTTGATAGTGAACGGAGAAATGGTGAGAAAAATGACATACACTCGTATAGCAAAAATTCAAATGATAAGGAAGGCAGTAATGGCAATGAAGGTATCAATAGCAATGAAGACATCAATGAAAATGAAGGTATCAATAGCAATGAAGACATCAATGAAAATGAAGGTATCAATGAAAATGAAGGTATCAATGGTAATGAATGCATCAATGGTAATGAATGCATCAATGGTAATGAATGCATCAATGAAAATGAAGGTATCAATGGTAATGAATGCATCAATGGCAATAAATGCATCAATGACAATGAAGGTATCAATGGCAATGAAGGCAGTAATGATAATGAAGACAGTAATGATAATGATAAGGAGGTTAATAATAAATTTGTTCATATAGGTATAGACACAAGGTTTAGAAACAACGAGCATAACAGTGACACATGTGTGAGTAATGACACTGCTCGTAAAATGGAAAGAGTCAACGAAATTTGCAATGAAAGGAACAACGAAATTAGCAGTGAAGAAAACAACGAAATTAGCAGTGAAGAAAACAACGAAATTAGCAGTGAAGAGAACAACGAAATTAGCAGTGAAGAAAACAACGAAATTAGCAGTGAAGAGAACAACGAAATCAGCTATCAGATGAGCAACGTGACCCACCATTTTGACGATATACTCAGAGGGGGAAGAATTGAACCCATTTGCGAACCCATCAGAACCTCTGATAATTGTAACAAGAATGAAGACACGTGCAGCATAGAGAACAAGTTATACTTTCATAACAGTAACCACAATAATAAAAGAAACAAAAAGAAAGGAATAGTATATGATAACTGTCATAAAAATGGAAAGAACAATTACAATGTTAAAAACAAGATAGATATGAATGACAGGACTAAGGAATGTAATATTATGGATGATGAATCCAAAGAAAGGTATGAACTGAATAGAGACAAAAATGCTGAGCCAAAAGTGCAACCGTTCGCTAGAGATAAAAGCAATGCATTGTATAAATCAGAAAAAGAAAATGGAAAAAACGTAGTTAAGGTTATTTACAGAGAACGAATGGAAAAGTGTACCCTTGCAAAAAGGACAAAAAATAAGGAAACAGCAAAATTGAGAAATGAAAACATTATTGCTAATCCTAATTTTTATGAAAAGAAGAAAGGAATGGAAAAATATGAAAATTTCAACAATTGTTCCAATATATATCCAGAAAATACCAATAATAAAATGGAAAAACTAAATTATCTAAAAGAAATATGTGAAAGGGGAACGATGCAAAAACACAGTAATAATAATGTAGAGCAGTTAGATCAAAATTTACAAATTACGTCTCATTTGAGGTTTCCAAAGGTATCAATGGACAAAAATGTTAACCCAAATTGTCAGTACATAAAACGCGTTAATTCGAAAAAAGAAAATAAAGTTAAGAATTTTACTAGAACATTATCACATTTAATAAAAAACAACATAAAGGAAGGGATAAAAAATGAGGGGCCTCGAATATTGGCCCCATCAGATCAATCATGTTGTGACCCCATTTCTGTAATTCCAAGCAGTTTTTTGGATGAAAAAAATGAAAATAAAATAAAAATAACATACAACCATTATCAGGATAGTCAAAATATGGAAAATTCCTCTCAAACGAAGAGAAACAGTAGGGCAAAAATTGAAACTTCTAAATGTGTAAGCGATCAAATAAAAGAAAGTGAGCATGTAACTAGTACATACCACGTAGTACCAAACTCAAATTACTCTTTTAAGGGAAAAATTAATATCTCACATGATGACAAAAATGATGAAATGTTTAATAATAAGTTTTATGATGCTAATGGAAATAATACATCTTTTGTAAAAGCGGATCCTATTTTTAAGGACTCCAAAGTGTTGCGTAAGGAATCATCTCTAAGCAATTCAAACAACTTTTTTGCACATAATGAATTATTATTACAAAAAAATAAACAGGAAAGACTTAATCTTAGTTCAATAAAGTTTGATGGTAGCCAAAATATTCATAGCACATGGTTAGGAAGTAATTTGTCAAAAATTAAAAGTAAATATAATCCGGGATTTTGTTCAAACGGAGTGATTGAAATAAAGAATTGTGAGAATGCTGAAAGAAGGATTTGTTTGAGAGACAATAACGAGAAGGGGGTTAGCCCCCCCACGATGACCATACCAAATTATTTTTCAAATCGAAATGATAACTATACAAATTACATATTGAAGACTGAGGGGGAAGAGCAGAATAATGTGGATAATGACTTCGGCATTGATAATGCTTTTAATAATGCAAATAATAATGATAAAAAATGCATTAAAAGTAACTATAATGACATCATAACGTTAGAGCATAAAATGAATGGTTTTATAAATTTGAAACAAGTGAATCCAGAAGATGAACAATTGAAAGAAGACATATTGGTTAAAACAACACAGTCGGGGAATCATTCACAATCTGAAGTGACAAGTAACTATGGTCCTTCCATATTTAATGTTCAAAGTAGCTTAAATAGGAACAGTATGGTTAGTACTCAAGGAACAAATGTTATAGATGGAAAAAAGTATAGTCCTAATGGCTATGATGAAAACTGTGGTAGAACCCTTTTTTGTTGTCCAGTGAAAGAATCCACTGCTATACCCAAACTTTCTCGGGCCAAATCTTTAATAAATGTATTATTTAGGAGGAAAAAAATAAGTCCAGAACATGTCGAAAAAGTGAAGACTAACTCTAGATGTGACAAAAAACTAGTGAAAAGTAGCTTTGATAATACCAAAAAGATTATATCATCGAGTAGATATTCTGTTAGTTTGAAACAAGATGAGAAACCTGATTTATCTAGAACAAGAAGTTCAGAAAAAGAAAAAAAAATGAATTTGTATGTTTCAAATGTAACTAGCCCATCAACAAGGTTATACACAAATTGCTCTAGCTTTTCTAACGAAAAATTAAAGGGGGAAAAAAGAAAAAATGTTACTAAATTGTATAAGGTACCGATGAGTCTACCTAGATATGGTAATAGAAGAATTTCCACTAAAAGGAACAATGTTTTAATGAATAATACACCACCACCCTCCAACAGTACATTTTACCCTAAGTGTGAACTTATATGCAAACTTCCGAGAGAAACATTCACAGATTATGTTCATGGCAAAAAATGTTAACTAAAATTAATACTTCAGGAAGAACTTATATATGAAATATGCTTAATACAGTAAAAAAAAAAAAAAAAAAAAAAAAAAAAGTAAGACATGAAGAGTATGTACACTAAAAAAATCCAAAATTTTGAGCGAAGAAAAAGGGGTGTGCACAAAAGAGGTAACACTTATGCATATATACTTGCATAAGCGTGTGCTTTTTTTTTCTTTTTTTTTTTTTTACTATTGAATCTGAATTAATGATATCTTAATTATGTATTAAAAATATGTGTTGGTTAGTGTCCTGCTGAGTTCTGTAGTAACTCCTTTAAGTATGCATGTGCTTTTATTTTAAAAATTTTTCCCATCTTAAAAAAAAAAAAAAAAAAATTAAACCGAAGCGTAGTGTAGAACACATCAACGAAAAATAGGGAATTTCTGGAGGATGCATGCTATAATTGCAAATCCAGATCAGCACTTTTGCAACAACCAGAATAATTGCAATATATTTAGAAAGTTTCACTTGGAATAGTGAAAAATTATTTGATCATTCGATTTGTTGCAACCTACCACATATCACATAGAGGAATATAAAAATAAAAAAACTACAGAGTATAGCAAATGTAAACTAAAGTGATAAAATGTATAACAAGACACAGTTATGTTATCCAAATGATGCTTCAATTCAACATAGTATGAATAATATGTCTTTTAATTCCTTTTATCAATCGGATGCTTATCCGAATGGGAGTACATTGCAAAACTGCAATGTTTACAATAAATTGTTTCCAGAAAAGAATATATCTGAAGAGAATTGCGACATTATAAATGGGGTTCATACATATGATGGCTACAACGAGAGAGCAAATGATGTGGTTAGTCATAGGAATAAGAAAAAAAGAAGCAAAATCAGAATGAACTGCAATTATAGGGCAAACACTAATGAAGAGAGTGGCAGTGATAACAATGGTTACCATCTAAGTAATAAAATGATTAATACATCGAAAAAGGTTAAAAAAAAAGATACACTAATAAGTATTACAACTGATGATAGATCTAGTGAAAGTGATTACACGGAGTGTAGTGAGCAAAGTGTACCTAGTTTAGGAAGATCAAAAAGACCTAGAAAAAAATTTATGGGAAAATATTCCTTTTCAGAAATAAAAAATAGCTTTTTATATCCATGGAATTTGTCTGCTACCGTTGCATCTCAATCAAATGTGTTGAATCCACGTCTTGACTGTTTTCATTATCGAATAACAACTAAGACAAAAGGTGGGGAGAGAGATAGAAAACCGGAAATTCTTGTCAGATTTTAGTGAAACGTATGATTAACCTGGTTATTGAAGTTATTTTTCTATGAGCTATTATTAGCACAGCTCTTCATTTGTAACACTTGACAGTTGCATAAGTTTCAGTTTCTTTGCGATTTTGAAGTATATATCTCTTGTGTGTATGTGTGGCATGGCTTAGTCACCTCCTGTATTCTAAATTTACATTACTTTTTTTTTTTTTTTTTTTTCTTTGTGGTCCAATAATTATGAACATACACCACATTTTGCTCCACAGTTATCAAAAATGGAGTAATTAATTTTAGTGGAACTGTTCTTTTGTTTATCTATACAATATTTTTGTTTCTTATAAACTCCTTTGGTGGTTCGTTACCGCGACCTTTGTAGGAGCATTTTCCAAATTTTTAACATGTAATGAAATGTATATATATGCAAATGGTTTATGAAAACATGTGCTACTATATATCTACTCTACAATATAAAATAAAGGAAAATATATAGGTGGTCAAAATGAAAGGATCCACATTTTTACTCCTAAGCACAATCATTCGTTTGATAGTTCCTGGAATATTCCCTTTTTCTCCAATTTGCATCAACATTGCACAAAAAAGGAATCTCATCTTGTAAGCAAGAGTGTGTTAATAAATTGTCCAATTTGGATAGTTAGTCAGCCAAGTTTGGGAATGGCAAAAGGTGATGAGAAGAAGAAACCTTCATTGTAGATAAGTCGATTCATAGGAACATGTTTCAGAAGGAAAATTTATTTGTGTGCAGAAAAAAGGCTTAAAAATTTTTACTTAAAAAAATAAAATAAAATAAGGGCCAACAAATGGAATAATGGACATAAGCAAAGGGGAACATTTCGTATGTATGCGTGCTAAGAAAGTGCGTGTGTATCCCCATTTGCTAGGTTCAAAATGTCTGAGAGACAATAGAAAAAATGTGACGCGTTATGAAACGTGTAGAAATTGTAAAGTGACAGCTCTAGAAATGGAATATATTACTATGTTGCACACTCGTTTTCCCCTTGCATGTTTTCATATATTTTATTAACAATTTGTCCAGATTCTTTCAAAATATTCTTGTAATAATCATTTAGTTGAATATGCTCATAATTTTTTAACATATCAGAAGACTTTTGAAACAGTTCCATAAACAAGTTTGCATCGGTTACGACTTGTTCAATATTGAAAATTTCGTTCCTGTTTACAGCTGTTTTTTTTTTTTTTTTTAAATAGCTGTCGTTAAATAGAGATTTTATATTGTTTAGTATGTCTAATATGAGATACTGATTTTTGATCAGATGCATCAATTCGGAACTGTAAATTCGTAATTCTAGATCTTCCCCTGTTTTATACATCTTTTTTAATTCTTCTGGGGTCAAGTTTTTAAACTTCTTTGTCTTTAAGCTATTTTTTACACTTTCAATAAATATAATTCTTTCCTTTATCATTTTCGAAATATTCAATTTCATATTTTTTATGTCACTTGATTCAATGAAATTGTCCATCTTTTTTACTACGTTTATGAGGTCTTGTATGTTTGCAATGGGAGGTTCTATTTTATGGCTCTCGCATATCTTCACTTGGCAAACCAAGGTGTTTCGATTCTCGACATAGTCATCCATATTGTTTTCATCACATGTTATTGAACGCTCTTTAGAATGAGAAATATACTTATCAGTAGTACTGTGAGCTAAATATTCTTTTCTCTCCTTGTGGGTATATAGAACATTTCTTATTTTATCCAAATATGCATAATTCGACTTAACAATGCCAATGGCGGTATTTGCAATTTTTCCATTAAAGGAGTAAAAAGCATTTTCCCTTAATTGTAATTCTGCATCCATTTTTATTTTTAAAATGTCCAATTTATTCTTAAAATTGTAGAAGATTTTCATATCATCGATCATTTTTTTTGTCACAGGTGAAAGAGTGAGTAAATTTTCAAAAGATGTTTCAAAATCTTTGCTTGTAGTATTGCTTGATTTATACTTTTCTTTTTCTTCCCTTTCTTTGTTTGAGCTTATTTCTGGAATTTTCGCAAAAGGGTACTTCCCCAAATCGTCAAATTTGGACAACTTATCAACCTTCTCACCCTTATGATTCAAATAAAAATCCGGGATACTACTTTCATTACACGAAACCCTGAGCATTTCTAACATCTTCAACATATGAATGAACTTTTCCCTTTGTACCTCATTATTTTTTGATTCCAAAATCTTTGATGATATATAATCTGATGATTCTTTTGAAAAATTTAACAAGGAAGACAGGGTTTGAAAAAAATGCTCTTTACTCATGGATGGTTCTAAATTTATTTCCTCTTTTGCTTCATTCATACATAAGAGTTTATTGTAATGATTATCAGAATGGAAGTAAATGTTTTTCTCCTCTACCATTTTGACATGTTTGTTACTTTTATCACTACACATGATGGAATTGTTTTTATTATATGAAGATGCGGTGTGAGTTTTCTTAGTTTTACCACTACAAGGACTTGAGAGACGCGTAAAAATATCGTTATAATTGCTTCTATAAAGAAATAGCAAATCATTTTTTAGTGAGAATATGTTATCCATATTTTTAAATTGATTTGTTAAATTTTTTAAATTTTCCAAATTAATTTTATTGATTTCAAAATATTTTATCAATTCTTTTTCCAAGTCATCCTTTGTTGTGTCATCGACTAGTGAGACATCATCAGAAAAATTTAATAAAACGTTTATACACACATTTGGATGTCTATTTGTCAAATATTGTGGATGGAGATTATTTTCCTTGTTCAATCTTTGTATCATGTTATCTTCTTGCATGTTGTTACTCATCGAGTTCTGCACTGTTTTTCTTAACTCCTTTACTTCTAATTGGATGAGATACAAATCCGTGGTCGCCAATTCGATGTGCTTAAAAAATATATTTTTTTTTCTTTTCTTTTTTAGTATAATTTCTCTACTCCAATTGTTTATAATGAAATTTAAATTGGCACATTTCTCATCTGTAATTTTTTTTCTTTTAACTTTTAAAATTTTTACCATCATATTTTTAAACAAATGGGGATTCTTTAATTCTACATAAATGCTACCATATGTAGAATCATTTTTACTATTGATGACAATTTTTTTTATCAATTTAAATTGGTTTTTATTATTGTTTTTGCAAATTTGTGGGTTCCATTCTGTAAGGTTTTTCCCAATATGTCCTTGATCATTTTTTTTTTTTTTTTTCTCCTCTTCCAATGGAGAAAAATGAGAGTTCATTATTGTGATGGAGTTATCTTTTGTTAAATTAATATGACCAGGGTTATTGATTGAAGGATAGTTAACTGTGTTGTTTTTTGTAATACAACTTTTTGGTACTTGTTCCATATATTCTCGTTCTTCTTGCTGATTATTGGGGAAATAACCCATTGTTATGTTTTCTTCTACTATACTGTCTATCTGATCGTTATTCTGTTGAAAGGTATAATTTTTGCAGAAGCATTCAATTTCGTTTATTTTTATGTTTGTCTTTGTCTTTATCTTTGTATTTTGTTTGTTTTTTTTTTCTTTCATATGTTCCTCATTCACGGTGTCTTTGCAGCTAACAGGTGCAGCAACGGAAATCTCAAAATAGAGATTCTTTTCGATTAATTTTTTCATTTTTTTTGATATTAGCAAAAATAAGTAGGTACATTCGTCCTGCTGATCATCATATAACATGTTAATTTTATGAATAAAATTTTCCATCGAGACTTTGTAAAAATTGTTTCCTACTTTTTCTCCGTAAGTTTTTTCATTATCTTCTTCCTTTTCCTCCTCTAGATTGTTCATATTTTTCTTTATTTTATTATTTTTTTTTTTTTTTTTTCTCACATTTTGCATTTCATAGTTTCCCTTCCCTTTGTTTATGCTACAAATGTACAGATCTATGTAAGGCAATATTTTTAAATTGCTAATTTTATGTATCACATAAAAAAATGGTGTCTTTATGCTCTTCAACTGAGATATCGTTACTGTGTACCTTAGCAGAACTTTGGTTGGATGCTCTCTCTCTATGGTTTGTTTTTTTTTTAAAAATGTCATTTGCATTTTCAGTTTTTTTTCGAGAAATTCCTCTAGGCTGGTGAATTTGCATGTGATGGACTTTTCCTCATTAAGCAGATTTTTTTCATTTTTCGAGATTTTCTGGATTTTCGAATTTTTTTCACCTTTTTCGCTTTTTTCATTTTTACCTCTGTTTGCATCTAACCATTCGATGGACATGTCACTCTTGCTGTATTTTCTGATATACACAAAGAAAAAGTGCTCCATGTTTTCTTTCAGGTGTATCTTCCTTTTGCAAACTTTTCTGTCAAAATGATAATCATTAGATTCATTGTGAATCCCGTTGTTGAGAATATGGTTTAGACTGAGGATGGGAGAAGGTTCATCATCTATGTCCTTGTCTCTCCCATGTGAATCTAAATTGTGCGCCAAATGATCTTCTCCAATTTTCCTTACAAAGCAATCGCAGTTAAATATCTCATTGGGGAAAAGGTACTTTTTTATCTTCCAGCGTTTAACACTTTTACGATTAACATGGGTCCTTTCACTTCCACTTCCACTTCCGTAGCTGCAGCTGATGCTGTTGATGCTGTTGATGTTGCTGATGTTGCTGATGTTACATTTACTGTTTTCACTCTCGATCTCTACCCTTTCTGCATTCCCCAGTTTTGAGCGTGACAAATTGAGAAACCCTTCTTGGAGTTTATTGAAGTATCTGAAGGAGGATGCTTTTATCTTTTCTTTCTTCTTCAGCAGCTTACCCTCTTCTGAATATGTATCGCTTCTTCTACGTTTGCAAGAAAAGAAGGAAAAATAAAATTCATGCATTCCTTCAGATAATTCTTTATCATTTTTGCACATTGGGGTATGATCGACACTATCGTAAACGTTAAAGTCATTGTGTTCATTTTGTAATTTGGATTTAACAGAATGAGGTGAGAAATCAGAATCCTTTCCACTTCTCCTGATGCAAATAGAGCAAATAAGAAAGAGGTACGGAAAATTCTCCACCTCCCTGGGATTACAAGCATTGGACAACTTGTCATCATTGTTTTCTTTTTTTTTTATTTTATCCTTTTTCTCCGTTTGGATGCTTTCATCCGGTTTGACGCTTTCATCCGATTTGACCATTTCATCCGATTTGACCATTTCATCCGATTTATCGGTTTCACCAAGTTTATCTCTTTTAAGATTTTTCAGATGTTTATGACTCTTTTGAGAACTTTGTGCACTTTCTATTCTGCTTTTTACATAATCACTTGTGGAAACAACATGGAAATTGTTTCTATTCACCAGATAAACAATACTTTCCCCTTTTGCTAAAAAATGATGGTTTCCTTTTATTAAATATTTGCATGAGTAGTTCACATGGATTCTTTCGATGAGCTTTTCCAGGTCCTTTTCGTCTAGCCATTTATTCTCCACCTTGTTGCAGCTCTGTCGGGGCGCACAAATGTACCGTGATTTATTTAGTATGTACGTGCGTGTGTATGTATACATGTACCATGAGTGCTTTAGTATGCATGTGTATATATATGCATGCACTTCGTGATCACACACTTGATCACATTTTATGCCCCTTCCCTTCTTCTATACCCTCGGGGGTTAATACATACAATCTACGAAATTCACATCTCCTCAGTGCAAAGCAGCCAAAAGAAGAGAGGGAGATTGGATAAATTCAGGAATAAAAAGTATTCTATAATTTGCTAATATTCTAAGTAAATATTCAAATGGTTTAATACTCCAACAAGCCATTTGACATGTTTACATTATGTTTAACTATGCCGTAACTTTGTGCAAATTCAAACTTAAATTGAAATTTTTTTTTTATTTTTTTTATTTCTTCTTTGTGTGTACATATGTCTACGTAAATGAAAAAAAAAAAAAAAAAAAAAAAAATTACCTTTTTATTCTCTTTCAAGGTTTCCATTTTAATGAGCTTATTATTTGATTTTTCGCAAATGTTTTTTATACTCTTGACATTTCTCACATCATCTTTTAATATTTCTCTACACTGGTGGATTACTTTAAAGATATTTCCATTAATGGTAATACTACTTTTTTCAGAATTATTATTGCTACAAGTGGGAGTTTGCAACATTCTACCAGTATCATTTGTCATTAACAAATTTATATCATTTCCTTTGTATTTCTCACGATCTTCATACTCATTCTTTGGATTAGTCATATTTTTTTTTGGCACCAACTCTACATTTTTAATTCTGATGTTCCCTATAGTGCTTAGATATCTGTACCCCTTTAACATAAGACCATTGTTTTGTCTCTGCATATACTGATAGGAATGAGAATATTTTTTATAATTACGAGGTTTCAGATTTTCACATTTTACTCCTAAATATTCATTTTTAGAAGAACATATAAGGAAGAAAAAACGATCAAAAGAGTTGTTCATCCCAGAAGAGGTATTCTTCAAGCATCTTCTTCTTTCAGTTAAGTCATTAGACAAAATAGGATGATTATAATTTAAGTTTTTATTTATGTTGACACTATCCACTTGGTTCTTTACTTCCTCCAAATACTTACTTTTTTGTCCTTTTCCTACATTAACTGATGATACATGATCATGATTTTCCTTCGCGCTGAAGAGGGCTATGCCAGAGCAGCTACTCTCACCACTTCTGAAATTGCTACTCTCACCACTTCTGAAATTGCTACTCTCACCACTACTGAAATTGCTACTCTCACCACTACTGAAATTGCTACTCTCACCACTTCTGAAATTGCTACTCTCACCACTACTGAAATTGCTACTGTTACCACTACTGAAATTGCTACTGTTACCACTACTGAAATTGCTACTGTTACCACTTCTAAAATGGCTATTTCTATTCCCATCTGCGCGGGACAAGACAGCGCAAGGGATAAAAAAAAAAAAATTTTTCCTTAAATAATGAGAAAAATTGTGAAAATCGCTACCCCCCTTGATAAACTTAAGCCCTGTTAACATCTCGACAAGATAAAAATGATAATTTGAAAAATCCCAAAGTTGGAAACATTTGTATAATGCTTTCATAAGAATATGAGGCCACAATTCCCTTTCACTTAAAGAATAACAAGACAAGAGCTCATTTTTTTCATTGTATGGTTGTGTCAAATGTACAAAAACTAATACCCATTTATTATTTATAAATAACTTAACAAAGTAATAGTTCAATCTGTTTGCAATTGGGAAGGAAGAAGCTGTTTGTGGGTAAATGAGTTCATATAAATAATTTCCCCTAGGTATAAGAGCTTTATTTTCTTTTATTAGACATATAGCAGAATAATAAAATTTTAAAAAATCAATTTCTCCCTTATACCTTACATCAGCATTTCTGCATATGTAATTTTGATACGTCACTACGCATTTATTATGTCTTCTCCTGCTTCTACTGCTTCCTTCGCTTCCTCCACGTCCTGCTCCTTCATCACTTTGATGTTCGGGATCATGGTTCAACATTTCAAGTTGTTTTTCAAGCACTTCTAAATAGTTCTTCTCCCTAAGAAGGGATTCTTTGTGCTTTTGCACCTTACTTGAATGGGAGATGCAAACATGCAATTTTCCATTTTCATCATGATCCGTTTTCTGCATCTTTATTTTTCCCACTTCTTTGTCCACAAACTGATCAGAATACGAGTGACTATTAACGCATTCATCTTGCTCCTTTGATCCATATTCGGAACAGTAATTCGGTTCTATCCATTTGTGCACGTATTTATCAAATTTCTTTACCCATCTCGAATTTATTTTACTCTTAATACCTTTGGTATTCTTTCTGTTGCTTCGCATGGAAACACATTCGCCCTTCCTCCTCCTAGTGCACTTTCCACCTAGGACCTCATGGGTTACATATTTTTTCCACAACTCAAACGTTCCTTTTGCACTTTCGAATTCTACAATTTTGTGCTTATCCAACATGTCATCCATTTTGCATGTGCACATATACACGCATATATATATATATATATATATATATATATATAATTTTTTTTTTTCTCAATTGTAGCTATTCCGGTTTAGCATTTGCATTTTATTTTTTTTTTTTATATCCATAATGTTATATTCGAAGCATTTTTTTCTCATTTGTTTGCACTTAATTGTGGCTTCTTTTTTTTTTTTTTTTTTTATTGTTTTATCTCGTTTAGCATAGATCCTAACTTGGCACTTATTCTGAAGGCATATTAAAAATTGTCAAAAACAAATAGAGAATGATGAAATGTCAAAAAGAAGAAGTAAGGTCTCTTTGGTAGTATTTATTATAAATCATCTCTTTTTATCCACTTTTTTTTTTTTTTTTTTTTTTTTTTTTTTTAAATTTTTTTTTTTTTTTTTTTTTTTTTTTTTTATGAACGGACAGGCGAGTCAATTTTTTTTTTTTTTTTTTAAAATTTTTTTTTGCATGAATAATTGGGGGAATGGGGGAAAAATATAATTTAGGAAATCCTGAATGTAAAAA